CCTCTCTGTCTCTACCTCTCTCTCTACCTCTCTCTCTACCTCTGTCTGTACCTCTCTCTCTCTAACTCTCTGTCTGTACCTGTCTCTCTCTACCTGTCTGTATCTACCTGTCTGTCTGTACCTGTCTCTCTCTAACTCTGTCTGTATCTCTCTCTCTCTACCTCTCTGTCTGTACCTGTCTCTCTCTACCTCTGTCTGTACCTCTCTCTCTCTACCTCTCTGTCTGTACCTGTCTCTCTCTACCTCTGTCTGTACCTCTCTCTCTCTACCTCTCTGTCTGTACCTGTCTGTCTCTACCTGTCTGTGGGACAGAGGGTGTGACAGCTGTACTGAGTGGTTTCATGGAAAGTGTATTGGAGTTTCAGAGAAAGCAGCTAAAGCCATCAGAGTGTGGTACTGTCCGTCCTGCAGAGGTCAGTGTTCTCTCATATGTGCTAACGTATCAGTCAGTGTTAGCTGTTAGCTCTGTGTTAGCTCCGTCAGTTAGCCATCAATGTTTTGTCTCAGACAGAGACTCGTCTCTGGAGATTAAATACCGCCTTAAGAAGATAAAGGAAAAGGAGGGGCCAGATGGAGACGACAAGCTTGACGGAGATGGAAGCTCCACCCCCCAACCTAAGATGGACAGGAGGAGGAGCTCACAGGTAACCAAGCAACTGGACTGGTAGGGGACGGGGCCCACAGGTGACCTGGCAGCCAGGTGGGTGTGTCATAGATCTGCACAGGCAGAAGTTCTCGTGGATGATTGTTCGTCATATTGTCTAAAAGTAGCCACACGACGACTATTCACCAGACGAACAAGGTCCTGGAACGACGAGTCCTCTCACGTGATCTTTGTTTCTGTTTCAGATCAAGCGTTCGGCCAGGATGTGTGGAGAGTGTGATGCCTGTCTGAGGACGGAGGACTGCGCTCAGTGCGACTTCTGCAAAGACATGAAGAAGTTTGGAGGTCCGAACAAAATCCGACAGAAGTGTAGACTCAGGCAGTGTGAGGTCCGAGCGAGGGTGAGTGGTCACATGGTCGAGTGTTTCCTTAACATTCGTGAACACACAGAAGACACATTCTCACCCCCTCATAAGACAGCACAGGTTTCCTCTTATTGTCTTACGGTACATGTCCCTCTCTCTGAGCAGAAGATGCTTCGGGTGCGAGACGAGGAGATGGCTCGGAGCGGCACCAGGGGACGGAGCCTTTTGAGGAGAGGATCAGGGCATCAGACGGAGGATGAGGAGGATGAGGAGGAGGAGGAGGATGGGTTCAGCGAGAGTGAGCTGGAGCTGTACGAGCAGTACAGAGCTGCCGGATACAGAGACCTGGTCAGTGAGCGTCTCTGACCAATCGGCTGTCAGAACAGCCACTTCCTGTGGTTTGACGTGTCTTCCTGTTGCAGGTGTGGCACAGCGAGGAAGAAGACACTCAGTCGGACTCTCCGAGGAAGAAGGCGGTGAAAGTGAAACACGTGAAGCGACGAGAGAAGAGGACGGAGAAGAAAGTGAGGATGTCATTAAGCCCTCTGATGATGTCACTGATGATGTCACTAACACTCCTGTCCCGTCCTGTAGAAGTCTGTGTCCGTTCCTAAAGAGGAGGTGAAGCCGCGGCGTCACAAAGCGAAGCAGCGGCACAGGGAGCGCGTGCGGCACAGTGAGCGAGCTGTAGAGGGCGGGGTCAAAGAGGTGGGCGGGTCCATGAGGCAGTGTCTGGGTCCAGGATGCGTCGAACCAGCGAGGACGAGCTCTAAATACTGCTCAGAGGACTGCGGAATGAAGCTCGCCGCCAAGTGAGTGAAGATACACCTGCACAACCGGGAAGACAAAGTCGTCTCCTGGACACTCAGCACTGTCTTTTTGTCTCTGTTTCAGTCGTATCTACGAGATCTTGCCTCAGAGGATCCAGCAGTGGCAGCAGAGTCCGTGCATTGCCGAGGAGATGGGGCGGAGACAGCTGGAGCGAATCAGGAGGGAACAGCAGGCGGCGAGACTCCGCCTCACACTGATGGAAAAACGTTTTCACGAGCTCGAAGGCATCATCGCCAACGCCAAACTACAGCAAGTCCAACAGCACGAGGAGGTACGAGACATTCATTCATTCCACAGTCTGTCTGACCTGTCTGTGTCTCCGTCTGACCTGTCTGTGTC